TTTTTTTTTTTTTTTTGCCTGTGACTTATTTTCTTAATAAGGTTTCTTAGGGTAATGTTAAAGTCAGTTACCATTTTTTGAACATTTAATGGCCATGTAGTCAAAGAAACCAGCAGCTGAAAGATTTGTTTGAAGCCACTTGAAGCAATTGGGGCACTGCGTTCTCTCTGTTCCCGGGGTGCTCAATGGAGATTTCACTTACAGCAGGGAACACATTTTATGGTACTTGTATGTGTTCATCTCTTTCCCTTCCATGGAACTGAGCTCTTGGAAGGCAGGAAAATGTCTCTGGCAGAGCTGGGCCCACAAGGCGTTCAGCGAGTATTTGACCTAATGCCCTGTGTTTCACACCACTGTTTTCAAGAAGACCACATCTTTCATCAGCATGGTGTTTCTCACACTAGAGGCCAGGGGTGTATGTGGGAGAGGAGTTTCCATGCCGCCTTCTGAGGGTTTATCACAACTTTTCAGATGCCCCTTTTCGTTTAATTAAATGAAAAACAAATGACTGTGAATCATCAGGATGAATACGTTACCAACATGGTTCTGCTAAAGCAATGGTGGTTAACTCTAAATTCAGCACTGCTCAGACAGGCCCACGAAAACTTCTTCTGGTGTGTTCCAGGGGTCTGAAGGTTCATGGTGGAGGATGAGCTGTCAGGATACCACTTTCTTCTTGGAAATGCCTCCCTCGGTGCTCTTTGTCAGGCATCCCTGTGGCACTTACCCCTCTGTGTGTTATGATGGATTTCCCTCTGGCTCTGTGTCCCCCTCTTCCAGAGTTAGCCAATTTCCACAGTGCTTTCACACTATGGTGCAACACTCACTGAGCTATGGGATAACCTGGGAATACGCGTTCATAAGTCTTTCTCTCTTACTGGACACTGAACATCAGCAGTTCGGGGAACCTCTCCAGCTTTGAGTCCCGAGTACCCAGCTCTCCCAGCACAGTGCATGGTAAGGTGGTCAGATCGAGTCCCGAGGTAACTAGAATGGATGCAGGCAAACACATTTTAAAGGTCTCCTCATTGTTTTGAGATGAGACTCATGTGGTCATTGATTCTTCATTTCTGAAAGTATTTTTTGGTTTCCCCAAGTTGGTCTTAGAGGTATTTGTACCTAATCTTGTCTTTCAATATGCTGAGCATGAGTCTTCTAACCCATGTCTGATTCTGATATACTTGGCTCTGTTTCAGCTCCCTGTTTCTTTTTCTTTCTTTCTTTCTTTTTTTAAACATTTTTATTTATTTTTGAGACACAGAGTCAGAATGAGCATGAGCAGGGGAGAGGGAGACGCAGAATCCAAAGCAGGCTTCAGGCTCTGAGCTGTCAGTGCAGAACCCGACGTGGAGCTCAGACTCATGGACCCTGAGATCATGACCTGAGCCAAAGTCAGATGCCCAAATGACTGAGCCACCCAGGAACCCCTCTGCTCCCTGTTTCTAAGTAGGCTGTTCCATATTGCTTGGTTTCCTCATGTGCTTGGTTATGTCTTACTCCCAGCTGATGGATGTGTTTTCCAAGTTATTTGTTAGAGTGCCCAAGTCCTAGGATGAACCTCCGGAGAAGTCTGTGTGAGTTTGCTGGGAGACGGAGGGCAGTTTCAGTCTGAAACCAAGCAAGCTTGGTTTGATGTTCTCTGGCTCATCCAGGTGTGAGGCTCAAAAGGCTGTGTTGTGGACATCATTTCTCAGGATGGGCCCATTTCTTAAATTTCCTTTTCTTTTATTTGAAACTACTTTGGCCTTTTCTGTAGTGCTCTAAGCTTGGGGACAGGTAGTTTTAATGCTAGTTATTTTTCTGATAAGGTGGTAGCACTTTGAGACCCCTGTCTACATCTGAGGAGGATCTCCTAGCAGGTCTTGGATGGATTTTGGGCCTTGAATCCTGGCTCCTTCACTCCCCTTTCCCAGGGCTGCAGACTGAAGCCTCAGTACATGTGCCCGCATTTCTCCAGGTTCTCCCCAAGACTAGACCAGGCGTTCCTTGCTCTTAAAAATTTTTAAGTGTTCTGAGAACCATTTTACAAGTTTACAGGTTTAGAAACTTTATTACAAGTTTTTTTTTAATTTAAATATATTTGACATATATCATTGTACAGATTTCAGGTGTTCAGCATGTTGATTTGTTGCATGTATATATTGTAATATAATGGCCACCATAGCAATAGTTAGCTCCTCTGTCCCTCACAGAATTATCATTTCTTTAAAAAAAAAATTTTTTTTTTTACATTTATTTATTTTTAAGGGACAGAGAGAGACAGAGCACAAGTGCGGGAGGGGCAGAGAGAGAAGGAGACACAGAATCCGAAGCAGGCTCCAGACTCTGAGCTGTCAGCACAGAGC